CCACTGAGACCACACGTTAAATCATGTAAGGTCCACTGAGACCACACTTAGTCCCTCCCCCTCATCCACATGATAGAGGCTGTGCTCCCCTCTACGAAGGAGGAGTCTAGGCCCTATAAATCTGTAATGCCATGGGACATCTGCCCCTTCCGGTTCATGATCTCACGTCGTGTACTGGACCGTCCAGCGCTGTAAACTGTAACCTTCTCCTGCCTTGATTTAATATAATTGGTAAAACTTAATTCATTCATTCAACCTTTATTTAGACAGATAAATCACATTGAGCCTAGAAGACTCATTTACAAGTGAGACCTGTTTAGACAGACAAAAAGTGGTGAAACTGGACACATGTAGGAGTTGGAGGCGAAAATATTCCTATCAGACTTTTTCTTCTTGGCTGAGAAGAAAAACTCTAATATTAAAAAACACCTCGCACAAACAAGCACATAGTGACGTAGACATTCTGCGGGGGGGCGGGGATGATGAGAGCGGTGAGCAATGTCCATGGATGCTCTCGAGGGCACTGTAAGAGTTCTGATAAGGATGGAATAATTAACCAGTTTCCTCCGGTGACATCAGTCAACATTCTCGAGGGATGTCGGGGAATGGCCAAGGACAATGCCTATGGGAATCCAAGAGTCCGGAAATGATGATACAATGTTTATTCACATTTTGTTTGTTCACATCTCGGCTCTGTGAGTGAACGCTGGCGCGTCTGGCTGCCGCTGCTCACCGGCTGCTATTTTTGTGATTTTTGTGAAGTTTGTAAAGAGTTTCTGCGCTGTTTGACAACGGACAGATTATGATGTGGATCCACAGGGTGTGTGTGTGGTCTGTCCTCACCTGGGCTGTTTTATCCATCGTCCACCACCCGGTGACTGCTCTCCTTCAGTACAACGCTACAGAGCTTCTGCGACTCCGCTTCCACCTCGCTGTCCCTTCACCTGTGGCGCTTCACCTCCATCCGGACATTGCTTTTAATCCTCGCCGAAAGTACATCCACCGAGGGTCCCGGCGAAACTTCAATACCAATGACACTGACTCCGTAGAATCCTTTTGGTCCAGAACTCATCGTCCTCCCCGTAATTCTGACAGGACTGTCAACCGCAGTGTGTTAGCCCACCTGGCTAGGTCGACTAACACTATCGTCAAGCATCGCAACTCCAACATGAACTTTGGTCTTTTAAACGTCCGCTCTCTCACTGGAAAGGGACATCTCATCCAGGATCTCCTTCTCGACCGTAAGTTGGACTTTCTTTGCTTGACTGAAACATGGCAACAGCCCAACGACTTTGTTTCTCTCAACGAGTCGACCCCACCTGAGTTTGTTTACATCTGTCACCCCCGCAACTTGGGGAGGGGTGGTGGTCTTGCGATAACTCATCGGAAACACTGGAAAGTTCTCCCTGTCTCTGCCCCCCCTTCCACTCATTTGAATACACTGCATCTCAGCTCCCTGGATCTACTTCTACTATTTTATGTACTGTTTATCCAACACTGAAGCCAAATAAGGATTTTTTTTTGTATGACTTTGCTGCTCTTCTCACTCATCTTTCTGTTCTCTCTCCCAATATTATCATTGTTGGTGACTTTAATATTCACATGGACAATGACAATGACCTTCTCGCCAGAGATTTGACTTCCTGTCTGGATAGTTTTGGACTCCAGCAATACATCAAATTCCCTACTCATTCTAAAGGTCATATTCTGGATTTGGTTTGTTGTTCTTGGGTCACCCCTACTCACTGCAAAGCCAATCTGTTTCCCACTTCTGATCATATGCTTATTTCTTTTGGTGTAAATATAATAGCTTTGAAAACTTGTACTCCTCGTGACATTACATTTAGGAAAATTAATGATATTGATCCTGACAGTTTCTCATCTGCTATATATGACCTTCCGTCTATTCACTGCTCTTCAACCCCTGATGAACTCACTTCCTACTATAATGTCAACCTCCAAAACCTTCTTAACACATTTGCTCCACTCAAACACAGATCTGTTTCATTTTCTCGCTCAGCACCATGGTTTACGTTCAACCTGCGTCTTCTCAAAGCCAAGGGACGCCAACTGGAACGCCTGTTCAAAAAAACTGGACTCACTATACACAAAGAAATGTATAACAATCATATTTTGTTTTATAAGGACTCCATTGTCTCAGCTAAATCTGCATACTACTCTGGTTTAATCAGTTCTAACGAAGGAAACTCCAAGTCTCTGTTTTCACTGTTTGTCAAAATGACTAAGCCTCCGGACTCATTTCCCTCCCACATGTACTCTGCTGACTTTTGCAACTCTCTCATGTCCTCTGTCACTGACAAAATGTCCAGTATCCACCAACAACTTAACCCTGTAAGAGCTCCTAACACTGAAGCGGACCCCCTGTTTTCCCCGCTGCCCTCCTGTCATTTACTCTCAAGTTTCACTCTTCCTTCCATATCTGATGTAACAAATATTATTCATAAATCAAAATCATCCACCTGCCAGCTTGACCCTCTTCCCACAGTGTTAGTTAAAGCTTGTCTCCCCACATTGGTTCCTCTCATAACCACTATCATTCACTCTTCCCTTAATACTGGAATTGTTCCTTCTTCTCTGAAAACAGCTTCTGTCACTCCAATTCTAAAAAAGCCTGGTTCAGATCCTAATAATTTTGATAACCTTCGACCAATATCTAATCTTCCTTTTATTTCTAAAATCCTTGAGAAAGTTGTTGCCT